ACTATGAGTTGGATCCTATTCCACGGCACTTAACAGCAACGGCAGCAATATAGAAATGGAGACTTGGTGTGGCAGTCTTGTATAAGCACTGAACTGCTAACCATGAGGTTGGCAGTTAAACCCACCAGCCTCTCCTTGGAAACCTTAATAGGATCATCATGAGTTAGAACTGACTCAACAGCACACAATAATAACAGATACAAATACGGAGTCCTGGTGTGGCACTGTAGAAGAACTACTAGAATGCTAACCACAAAGTTGATGGTTCAAACCCACCTGGCACTCCTCAGAAACCCTATATAAGCTTACTATGAGTGGGAACCAACTTCTCGGCACTTAACAACAAAAACAGAGATATATTTGTACTTGGTCCTTAAAAATCACTGCCTTTCCCTTTTGTCTCTATGCTTCTTCATGGAGAGGGGTGAACCCTGCTTGCTACCGTTGTTAAGTGCTGTCAAGTCAGTTCTGACTCATAGTGACCCTGTATAGGGTTTCTGAGGAGCAGCTGGTGGGTTTGAACTGCCGACCTTGAAGTTAGCAGTCTAGTGTTTATCCTACTACAGCGCCAGCAAGACTCCATATATATTAGAGATGAGCAACCTATTTAGTCTTGAATGTCAGCTGTGAAGGGTTTGGGGGACAGAGGAACTGAAGACCCACATCAGTCTTCAGTTCTGCTATTTATCTGCCAAATCCTTTAGCTCATCGTGTTCATCCTCCTCCTTCAATGGGGCTCTCAGTTTCCTCCCTTCATATCTATCTTTGAAGCTCTGGGTGGTGCTGTAGGATAAGCACTGGACTGCTAACCACAAGTTCGGCATTCAAACCTACCAGCTGCTCCTTGGAAACCCTACACAAGGTCACTGTGAGTTGGAACTGACTCAATGACACTTAATAACAACAAGACAGCTATCTTTGAAGAGAAAAGAAAACAGAAGCATTTTGCACACCATGAAGTGCTTATTCATTTGACAAATATTAACAACACCTATTATGTGCCAAAGAAGCTCTGGTAGTGTAGTGGTTGTGAGTTGGGCTGCTAAACTCAAGGTCAGCAGTTCAAAACTATCAGTCATTCTGCTGGAGAAGGTTAAGGCTTTTTGCTCCTATAAAGATTTACAGCCTTGGAAACCCCTGTACAAGGTTACTATGAGTCGGAACCAACTCCATGGCATACCACCACCGCCACCATTATGTGCCAGGAGTCCTGGTGTGGCATTGTAGGACAAGCACTGGACCATAAGGTCAGTCTGAACTGCAAGGTCAGTGGCTCAAACTTATCAGCCACTTCTCAGAAGCCCCATACAGGGTTGCTATGAGTCAAAACTGACTCTACAGCACTAAATAACAATAACATTATGTGTCAAGCATATGTTTACCATCAGGGGTACCACAGGTTACAAACAACACACAGAAAATAAAGTCAAATCGTTAGAGATTAGAGAGGGGGCTCTGATGAAAAAGAAGCAAGATTTAAAGAAATTCATGGGCGAGATGTTGATATAGAGAGGTGATGAGAAAGTCTTCTCAGAGGAGATACTTACACCATGTCCTCAGAAGGAGAGGGTCGTGGCAAGAGCTGGGGGAAAGGAGTGCCTGGAAGGAAGCAGGGTAAAGGGTCCTACAGTAACACAGCCTGCTCTAGGATGAGTCTGCAAGGCAGAGGCTGGAACCTAATGACAGAAGGTGAGGCCCACAACATTGGAATAGAGCTATAGACACTCCATCTCACAGGAACATCAAATGTTCTAATACCACCAAAGTCTGATAACGCTTCTTGTCCCAGTATTCTCCTACATTGTTTTTCATATACAAATGGACTTGGTTTCATCAAAACCCCTTCGCCTTGGATTCTGGGTTCTAAGCCTTCATTGTAAGATTTCATTTCATTTTAACTGGATGCTTTTCATTTCCTCCTACCCCACGCCAGAGAAGGATGGAGACCTGAAGACTCAAGTGGAAAAGCTCTGGAAAGAAGTCAATGCTTTGAAGGAAATGCAGGCGCTGCAGACAGGTAGGTGAGACAGTACCTTGCTCATGCCTTGTCCCATCAGAGAGAGGAACAGAAATGGAGAGTACCAGCTGCTCAAAACACAGAGCATGCTCTGGGTGTCAGTGTCTGAAAGATGCCTGGACCAGCCAGCAATGGGTCCAGGGAGACTCTAGGAGCTGGCTGTTGTTGTTGTTGTTGTTATGTGCCATGGAGTGAGTTCTGACTCATAGATACCCTGAACAGGGTTTCCGAGGCTGTAAATCCTTACAGGAGCAGAAAACCTCATCTTTCTCCCATGGAGCAGCTGGTAGTTTTGAATTGCTGACCTTGCAGTTCACAGTCTGATTCGTAACCACTACGCTACCAGAGCTCCTGGCTGGCTATAGGACTAAAAAATTGGGAAGACAAGCATTTTGTGAAATCAGTTTGATTTGCTCCTCAGATCTCCTAATTTCCAGTTAGTCTGTGGATGCGTTAGGAGCCCTGGTGATGCTGTGGGTTAAGTGTTGAACTATGAACCTCGAAGTCGGTGGTTCCAACCCAGCAGCTGCTCTGCAATGAAAAAATGAAGCGGTCTGGGCATCATGTAAAGATTTATAGTCTTGGGAACCCCCTACAGGGTCCTATGAGTTGGGATTGACTTGATGACGGTGAATCTGGTGTTTGGTTTGCTGTTTGGGTGGCTATGGAATAAAAATAGTCATTTCAAGGAAACTTCTTAAAACTTATGTATAAACAGAATTAAAGCAATTATTAACTGGCTAAAATCATGCACATTTGGGGGTGTTTACTGAGTGTACACTGGGAGATTTGCTAAAGTTCAGTAAGCACAGGACCACAGACTCACTTGGGCCCCACTCATCCCCAGAGCATCTAGAAAGGACGTTGGTTAGAACCACAGCTTACTAAGAGAACAAGTATCCCTTTTCCATGACAGCGGAGATCCCAGAAGAAATCTCAGTAGTGCAATGGGTAAGCACTTGGCTTCTAATTGAAAGATCAGCATTCCAAACCCTCAGTCTGTTTCCATAAAGATTGCTGTTAGGTACCATCAAGTGAGTTCCGATTCATAGTAACACAATGCACAATGGAACGAAACACTGGGTGGTCTTGCGTCATCTTCAGAACTGTTGTTATGTTTGACTCGCTGCTACCACTTTGTCAATCCACCTCATTTGGGGTCTTCCTTTTTTTCACTGACCCTCCACTGTACCGAGCATAATGTCCTTCTCTAGGCACTGGTCCCTACAGGGACATGTCCGAAGTATGAGAGATGAAATCTTACCATTCTAGCTTCTAAGGAGCATTCTGCCTGTGCGTCTTCCATAATATCACAGCCTAGAAAACCGTGTAGAGAAGTTCTATAGGGTTTCCCATAGGTTTGTTGATTCACAACCCACTTGATGGACTGGGTTTGATTGTTCGGGTTTAGAGTTCCCAGGAGCCTGTACAGCCAGGGCTGTTACTACCCAGGAGGGAGGATATGAGATTCCCACTAGAGGGATTGAGGAACCACCTGGCTTACAAATCCCACAGTATCCAGTCCCTTTCTTATACAAACTGGAAACACGAAGCTTCCAGGATTCCTGCCTAGAACTACCCAGCTACAAGACTCAATGACTTCAGGGGAGCCTCAAGTTCTGCTTGCTGTCACATACTTGCAACTCCCAGGCCAGATATGCATTGCTAATCAGGAACCACCTTTACCTTAGCAACACTGCCTAGTAACACAGGTGATGTTGTTGTTGCTGAATGCCGTCCCGTCCTGTCACCTCTGACTCATAATGACCCTATATAGGGTTTCCAAGGAGCAGCTGGTGACTTTGAACTGTCAACCTTGTGGTTTGTAGTCCAAAGCTGATCCTACAGAGCTACAACAGGCCTCTTTTATCAAGAGGAGCAGAAGGTCAAGTGCTTACAAAGAGGGGGCATGGGTTTTGCTAACCCTTTACCCACAACTGAGCACTAAAAATACTTCATACACATGAGTATGTTAATCCTGGGGACACTTTTGAAATAGGTGTATTATGATTATCCCTAGGAAACTGAGACACAGAAGTGTTAATTTGTCCAATGTTTACACCAGAAGTGGCAGATATGGGACTCAAATCCAGGCATTATGGCTCTGGAACCTGATTTTCCAATTAAAAAAAAATGACTCCAACTTTTGGAGTATGTGTCAGCGTGGAAATGCTCAAGACTGCTTTTTTAGATCATCAGGCTTTACTTTTGAGGTGTCTCTGGAAGGACTCATATGCTAACCTTTTAGTAAGCAGTCGAGCACATCAATTATTTCGACTCCCCCCTCCAGCAACAAGGACTTACTTCTATTCCCCAATTTGTAGTTGTTGTTAAGTGCCATCGAGTCGGTTCTGACTCATAGCAGCCCTGCATAGGATTTCTGAGGATTTAAATCTTTGTGGGAGCAGAAAGTCTTCTCTTTCTTGCACAGGGTGTTTAGCAGGTTTGAACTGTGGACCTTGTGGTTCACAGTTCAGTTCTTATTGTTTGTAATAGTATGGCCTACAATTGTCCTTAAGTTTAATTTATTCTGGATAATCTCAGCAAGAAGTTCTGGTGTGGCTCTGTGGGATAAAGAACTGGACCACAAGGTCAGTCTAAACCACAAATTCACCAGGCACTCCTCGGAAACGCTATACAAGGTCAATGTGAGTCAGAAGTAACTTGATGGCACTTAACAATACAATCTAAGCAAGGAGTTCTGGTGTGGCTCTGTGGGATAAAGCACTGGACCACAAGGTCAGTTTGATCCACAAGATCAGTGGTTCAAACCCAACCAGCCGCCTGCTCCATGGAAATCCTATACAGGGTCACTATAAGTCAGAAACAGCTCAACAACAACTATCTAAGCAATTACTACCAAAGCTTCAATGATCTGGCTTGCAGAGTCAAACTTCTACATTTAAAAAATGGTAATAATAATTGGAAACTCATGCAGTTTCAAAATCACAGAGAAAGTTAGTACATAAAACAGCTACACAAACTAGCAAGCCTGAGTATGTTTAAGTAACATGAGACAAATAGATCAGACAGTCCTGGGTTCTTCTTAGTTCTTTGTAAGTTACATTGGTGGTAGTGGTTATGTGCTATGGAGTCAGTTCTGACTTATAGCAACCCTGTATAGGATTTCTGAGGCTGTAAATGTTTACAGGAGCAGAAAGCCTCATCTTTCTCCCACAGAATAGCTGGTAGTTTTGAACAGCTGACTTTGAGATTAGCAGCCTGATTCTTAACCACTGCACTAACAGAGCTCTTTGCATGTTATATTGTTTTGTGCTAAAATGCTACAGCTAACCAATTCTTGAACTTCAATATCCTGATACATGAAAAGAGAGGCAGTAAAATACCCCTTCACTGAGTTGCTGTGAATCTTGTAGGAACTCATTTCTGTCAATTGCACGGCACCGGGCCTGGCACATACAACATCTTTAGTTAATGTCAGTTTATTGTGGCCATCACACATCATTCATGCTGCCAATATTGATTGATATCTGCCAGGTCCAGCCTTAGGCCTTTTCTATTCAAAAAGCATCTTACTATGTCAATTTCACCTCTTCACAGTCTGTCTCCGAGGCACAAAAGTGCAAAAGAAATGCTACCTGGCCTCAGAGGGCTTGAAGCATTACCATGAAGCCAATGAAGACTGTATCTCCAAGGGAGGTACCCTGGTTATCCCCAGAAACTCGGAGGAAATCAATGCCCTCCGAGACTATGGTAAGAAGAGCCTGCCAGGCATCAATGACTTCTGGTTGGGCATCAATGACATGGTCACCGAAGGCAAGTTTGTCGATGTCAATGGAGTTTCCATCTCCTTCCTGAACTGGGATCGTGCACAGCCTAGTGGTGGCAAACGGGAAAACTGTGTCCTATTCTCCCAGTCAGCTCAGGGCAAATGGAGTGATGAGGTCTGTCGTAGCAGCAAAAGATACATCTGTGAGTTTATCATCCCTTAGTAAGCCTTTCTCAAATGTGCCACCCAAGCAGATGAGTCATGATTGGCAGGCTGATGGTCTCCAAGATGAAGCCAAAATTGTAACATGGGAGTCAGAGTCCATAGGAGTCTAGCAGACTTTGCTACTTTTCATTGTGATTTTGCCATTCGAGGGATGAAAGGTAGCGGAAAATAATGATCTGATCAGATTGGATCATGTGCACATCTTTAACAGGGCTTCTGCTAAAATGAGCTTGTGAATCTCTCTCCTCTCTCTCTTTCTCAGTGTCTCTCAGCTGTGTAGACACAGCCTGTTTTAAGCAAGCAAATGGTTCTATATTTCTTCAATACAGAAAAGCAAGCTTAGGCTACCTGAAAATGTTTCTCTTCAAAGTTTAATGTATATTTGATCGATGACAGTTTCTTAAGTGGGAGATTTCTTGGTGCTGTAGAATCCAATAGCTTTCAGTCAGATGCTCAAACTGTTCAGTTATAACAATAATCGCTTGTTAGCCCGTTCCCCTTTCTCGGATTTGCTCTCCCCGCCCCCCGCCCCTCTGATTTGTTGAAGCTGCTGACACTCCTGGTGTGGTAGTTGTTAAAAGTGCCTTTGAGTCGGTTCAGATTCATAATGACCCTGTATAGTGTTTCCAAGGAGCGGCTGTTAGGTTTGAACTGCTGATCTTGTGGTTAGCTGTTCAGTGCTTACCATACCTACAATGCCACATCAGGGCCAATGTGAACCTCCTGGTGAGGCTGACATCTTGTCTACCACATCAGACTTGAATATCTCAGAGACAGTTCAAATTTAACTCTTTTATTTCAAGCCCCACCCCCTTTCCTTTTAATTCCCCACCATAGATACAGAAATACAAAAGGAACTGATGAAACAGCATACTTGGTTAATTACCACTTCCGGCATTACATTACAATTTCTGATTTGAATGGGTAACCTATAGCAAAACAAGAGCTGCTGATTGTATGGAAAAAGCGATTAGCTATATGTCTACTTTGTTCTTACTTTGGTGCACTTACTCTTGCCTTTATGAAATTAAAGAATGATATCATACATGTTAACTTCCTTTTCTACATGCTTTATGTACTTACATGTCTTTTCAGCCATCATTAGATATTGAAATCTGTTAGGAGAAACCTACCTTTGGAGGTTGAAAATCTGATTTCAAATATTATTTGAGTCATATGTCTATGTACTTTCTTATACTGGCAAATGCTATTCTAAATTATTTAACTAGATTGTGTAAAGTAGCTTCACTGCTTTAATGTGAAACTCCAAAGTTTCGGCTTGGGGAAATAGAATTTTTTTTCAACGTAGAAGCAAAGTAATTTTAAATTTATTTCACTCTTCGAATAAATGGTTTTTTTTTCTTTAAATGTCAAATGTGTTTTCTATGCGATATAGTCTGCTATGCAAACTTTAATTAGATGTGCTTTGAAGTTTTAGATATTTTCATTGCGGAATAATAAAAGTCTAAATGCAGAACAATGCAGTATTTGGATTCGATTGCAATTACACCAACTATGTTAGCTTATATCAAAAGATGCAATTTGAAGCAACGTATTCTGGATTTGAACCAGCTGGTGAATCAGGTGCCCTAGGAGAAACATTTGCCTCGAGAATAAGCAGGTAAACTGGGGGAGGGGAGCAAGGGCAGGAACTTTAAAAATTTGTAAAGTAAGGAAGTGTACCTGCAATTGGTTTTGGTTGACCTTGGTCAACCCCTATTCCAACAGGACCGAGACTTCTATCCTTTGCTGCGAATTTACGAAACCCCAAACCCTGTACTCTAACTCAGAATCTACAATTTAACAAGATCCCCACGAGATTTTTATTAAAATGCAGATTCTATGTCTAGGTGGTGGTAGTTACGTGCTATGGAATGGGTTTGTTACCAGAGTCACTCTGGAGGAGTTGCCAAGGCCACGCGGGTTGTAACAAAGGAAGGACATTTATTATGCCAGCACGAAGCTCAGTGGATTCATATCCAGAGGCTGAGCCCCGTTTTCGCTGTGTGAGGATATTTTATAGGTAATAGGGGCGCATACATGAGTTCATTTGGGATTGGTTAGCAGGAGGCCAATAGCTTCACGGGGCTTCCTGGGATTGGTTGGTACAAACATATGGTGGGGAAGAATGTATGAGCATATAAACAAGCAGTTATGGAAGGGAAAGCAGGTAAACATTAGCATAGGGCTCTGTTCCCTCTCGGAGGTGTGTCAGAAGCAGGAGATTAACCTGAGGCTGAGGTGGTCTGTTGCTTATTTTCCTGGAATGTGAACCTTGCTCCAGGATTGAGTCTAGGAGTCTTGGGGATATGGGGAACCAGCGCCTTATTTCCACAAGCCTGCCTGCCTACCTCGGGTTCAGACTCATAGCGATCCTGCATAGGGTTTCTGAGATTGGCAATTCTTTATGGGAGCAGAAAGTCTCCTCTTCCTCCCACAGAATGACTGGTAGTTTTGTGAGAAATGTTGTCTGCACTGACAAACGCTCAAGTAATCCAGTCCGTACTCATTTTAGCGAGAGTGAGGTTTTCTTTATTCAATTTTGCAAAATCAGGAGCTTAACCCAGTATCCTCAGGCAGACGTGCCACATGGCTGGCTACAAACGGTTTTTATTCTAGTCTCCAAATAGCCCCTCCTCCAGTTCCAGTTTCCCACATACAATTCTATGGCACATCCCACTTTCCCAATGCGCCCAGAGAAGCCAAAATGGCTTGTCCATGGTCTTAATAGTGTATTATATTTAAGTTTCCTAAAGGAGCTCTGGTAGCGTAGTGGTTATGAATCAGGCTGTGAACCCCGTAAAGTCAGCAGTTCGAAACTACCAGCGGAGAAAGATGAGGCTTTCTGCTCCCGTAAAAGATTTACAGCCTCGGAAACCCTGTACAGGGTCCCTATGAGTTGGAACCGACTCCACGGCACACAACAACAATAGCATTTAAATTTCCTAGTCCTAGAATAGCCAGGTTACATATCCCTCCTTGTATGTACATCAACAATCTATTTGCCAGGTCTAGCAATCTCATGAATTCCTGAAGAGGGACCACGCCTACAAGAGTTATTTCTCACAGTTTCAAACTGCTGACCTTGAAGTTAGCAGCCGGACTCATAACCCCTATGCTACCAGAGTTCCTTATGTCTAGGGTAGAAATCTAAATTCCCAGCAGCGGGTTGAACAAGAATGAATCAAGTAAGACTCCTATAGCTACCTTGCATAGGGTTTCAGAGTGCAGCTGGTGGGTTTGAACTGCTGACCTTCAGGTTACTAGTCCTGTGCTTACCCCAGAGCACCACACCAGGGCTCACTATGAAAACAACTATAATCTTCTTAAATGTAATGACAATAATGCAATCAGTTTATGATTTCCAGACACTGTGATGCATTCTTTACATAATTCTCATTTATGTAACCCAGGGTGCTAGAATGACCTAATTTTACAGAACAAACTAAAGAATGCTGTTAGTCCCTTCCAGTTGGTTCTTCTGCACAAAGTATTCAAGGGCAAAGATGTCAGTTTGAGGACTAATGTGCACCTGATCCAAGCCATAGTATTTTCAATAACCTCATATGCATGTGAAAGTTGGACAGTGAATAAGAGGACCATAGAAGAATTGATGCCTTTGAGTTATGGTGTTGGAGGAGAATATTGAAAGTGCCATGGGCTGCCAGAAGAACCAACAGATCTGTGTTGGAAGAAGTGCGGCCAGAGTGCTCCTTGGAGGCCAGGATGGCCAAACTTCTCCTCTCATACTTCAGACATATTCTAAGGAGGGACCAATCTCTGGAGAAGGATATCATGTTTGGTAAAGTGGAGGGTCAGAGAAAAAGAGGAAGACCCCCAGTGAGATGGATTGGCCAAGTGGCAGCAATGAGCTCAGGTGTAATAATGATTGTGAGGTTGGCTCAGAACAGGGAGGTCTTTCGTTCTGTTGCACGTAGGGTCGCTATGAGTCGGTACCATAACACCAACACGTAACAGCAACAACAACAGCATAGGGTTTCTGAGGCTTCTAAAAAGTCTTCGTAGGAACAGAAATCCTCCTCATTCTCCTATGGAGCAGCTGGTTAGCTCCAACAGCCCATGTGGTAACTTGCCCTAACCACAGGCCAGGAAGTAGTAGAGATGCTATCTGAACCCAACAAACTGACTCGGAGACTACATCCTTAGGAACTGTTGTAATTATCAAGTGCTGTTATTACAGAACTATCATCTGTCGATGGCTTTCCCCAGTGCCCACTGCCATCAAGGGGACCCTACACGACAGAGAAGAGCTGCCCCAAAGTGTTTCCAAGCTTGTCAATCTTTATAGAAGCAGACAGGGATAGACTTGCATTGGAACAATAGAGCCCAACACTTACCCACTGCGCCATCTGGGCTCCACTGTGAGAGAATGAATTTCTGTTAGCAGTTTAGGACTAATTCAGGATACCAGTTCTGGGGGAAACCTTTCTCTGTCTGCCGGCTCTGGGGGAAGGTCTTGTCTACTTTCAACATCTGTGCAGTTGTCATCCCTTGGAGATCTACTTGCATCTCGGCAATAATCTTCCTCGTGGTCTGGCGGAGGTTCACAGTTCAAGGACCTGGGTCCCAATGCCAACTTCTTTCTTGTGGTACTGATTTCCTTCTCACTTCTCGCTTCTCTCTCCTTTTATTCCTTGTAAGATATAAAGTCCTGGTGTGATGCTGTGGGATAAATCACTGAACCACAGGGTCAGTTTGAATCACAAGGTTGGCTGTTCAAATTCACCAGTTGTTCCTGGAAACACTATACAGGATCACTATGAGTCAGAACTGACTGGATGGCAATTAACAACAACATTTGAAGTTGACCTTGATAAGGCATTAGTATCTGAAGCTGGACTCATGGTGTGGCACTGTAGTATCAGCACTGGACTTTGTACCACAAGGTTGTTAGTTCAAACCCACCATCTGCTCCTCAGAAACTCAGTACAGGGTTGTTATGAGTCAGAACCTACTGGACTGCACTTAACATCAAAT